TATATGAAGACAAATGACAATAATTCAACACCACAAAAACTGTGGGATGCAGCCAAGGCTGTGTTAAGAGGAAAGTATAATACAATACAGGCCTACGTCAGGAAAGAAGAACAATCCCATATAAGCAGTCTAAACTCATAATAGACGAAATTAGAAAAAGAAGAACAAATGAGGCCCAAAGTCAGTAGAAAGAGGGACATAATAAAGATTAGAGCAAAAATAAATAAAATCAAGAATAAAACAATAGAAAGAATCAATGAAAGCAAGAGCTGGTTCTTCGAGAAAATAAACAAAATAGATAAACCCCTAGCCACACTTATCAAGAAAAAAAAGAGAGCTACACACATAAACAGAACCAGAAATGAGAAAGGAAAAATCACGATGAACACCAGAGAAATACAAAGAATTATTAGAGAATAGTATGAAAAATTATATGCTGACAAACTGGATAACCTAGAAGAAATGGACAACTTTCTAGAAAAATACAACCTTCCAAGGCTGACCAAGCAAGAAACAGAAAATCTGAACAGACCAATTACCAGCAACGAAATTGAACTGGTAGTCAAAAATCTACCTAAGAACAAAACACCTAGTCCAGATGGCTTCATAACCGAATTTTATCAAACATTTAGTGAAGACCTAATACCCATCCTCCTTAAAGTTTTCCAAAGAGTAGAAGAGGGAATACTTCCAAACTCATTCTCTGAGACCAGCATCACTCTAATACCAAAACCAAGCAAACACACTACAAAAAAAGAAAAATTACAGACCAATATCCCTGCTGAACATAGATGCAAAAATACTGAACAAAATGATAGCAAACGGAATTCAAAAATACATCAAAAAGACCATCCATCATGATCAAGTAGTATTTATACCAGGGATGAAAGAATGGTACAACATTTGAACATCCATCAACATTACCTACTACATCAAGTGGGATAAAACCCAGGGATGCAATGATGGTACAACATTTGAAAATCCATCAACATCATCCACTACATCAACTAAAAGAAGGACAAAAACCACATGATCATCTCCACAGATGCTGAAAAAGCATTTGACAAAATTTAACATCCATTCATGATAAAAACTCTCAAAATGGGAACATAACAAAGGCCATATACCACAAACCCACAGCCAACATTATACTTAACAGCAAGAAGCTGAAAGCTTTTCCTTTAAGATCCGGAATAAGACAAGGATGCCCACTCTCCCCACTTTTATTCAAAATAGTTCTGGAAGTCCTAGCCACAGCAATCAGACAACACAAAGACATAAAAGGCATCCAGATTGGCAAGGAAGAAGCTAAACTATCCCTGTTTGCAGATGATACGATATTGTACATAAAAAATCCTGAAGAATCCACTCGAAAACTACTACATCTAATATCTGAATTCAGCAAAGTTGCAGGATACAAAATTAATACACAGAAATCTGTGGCATTCCTATACACTAATGATAAACTAGTGGAAAGAGAAAATATGGAAACAATTCCATTCACAATTGCATCAAAAAGAATACTTGGGGGTAAACCTAACCATGGAAGTGAAAGAACTATACCCTGAAAACTACAAGACACTCCAAAGAGAAATTAAGGAGGATACTAATAAATGGAAATTCATCCCAAGCTCTTGGCTAGGAGGAATTAATATTGTCAAAATGGCCATCCTGCCTAAAGCAATCTACAGATTCAATGCAATTCCTATCAAAGTACCAACAGCATTCTTCAATGAAATGGAACAAATAGTTCAAAAATTCATATGGAACCACAAAAAAACCCAAATAACCAAAGCAATCCTGAGAAAGAAGAATAAAGTAGGGGGGATCTCACTTCCCAAATTCAAGCTCTACTACAAAGCTACAGTAATCAAGACAATTTGATACTGGCACAAGAACAGAGCCACAGACCAGTGGAAGAGATTAGAGACTCCAGACATTAACCCAAATATATATGGTCAATTAATATTTGATAAAGGAGCCATGGACATACAATGGAGAAATGACAGTCTCTTCAACAGATGGTACTGGCAAAACTGGAGAGCTACATGTAAGAGAATTAAACTGGATCATTGTCTAACCCCATACACAAAAGTAAATTCAAAATGGATCACAGACGCGAATGTAAGTCATGAAACCATAAAACTCCTAGAAAAAAACATAGGCAAAATCTCTTGGACATAAACATGAGCAACTTCTTCATGAACATATATCCCCGGGCAGGGGAAACAAAAGCAAAATTGAACAAGTGGGACTATATCAAGGTGAAAAGCTTCTGTACAACAAAGGACATCATCAACAGAACAAAAAGACATCCTCAGTATGGGAGAATATATTCATAAATGACATATCCGATAAAGGACTGACATCCAAATTATATAAAGAGTTCATGCACCTCAACAAACAAAAGAAAATAATCCAACTAAAAAATGGGCAGAGGAGCTAAACAGACACTTCTCCAAAGAAGAAATTCAGATGGCAAACAGGCACAACTAAAGATGCTTCACATTGCTAATCATCAGAGAAATGCAAATTAAAACCATAATGAGATATCACCTCACACCAGTTAAGGATGGCCACCATCCAAAAGACAAACAAAAAATGTTGGCAAGGATGTGGAGAAAGGGGAACCCTCCAGCTCTGCTGGGGGGAATGTAAACTAGTTCAACCTTTGTGGAAAGCAATATGGAGGCTCCTCAAAAAACTCAAAATAGAAATACCTTTTGACCCAGGAATTCCACTGCTAGGAATTTATCCTAAAAATGCAGGAGCCCAGTTTGAAAAAGATATATGCACTCCTAAGTTTATCACAGCACTATTTACAATAGCCAAGAAATGGAAGCAACCTAAGTGCCCATCAGTAGATGAATGGATAAAGATGTGGTACATATACACAATGGAATATTATTTAGCCATAAGAAGAAAACAAATCCTATCATTTGCAACAGCATGGATGAAGCTAGAGGGTATTATGCTCAGTGAAATAAGCCAGGCAAAAAACGACAAGTATCAAATGATTTCACTCATCTGTAGAGTATAAGAACATAGCAAAAACTGAAAGAGCAAAACAGCAGCAGACTCATAGAACCCAAGAATGGACTAACAGTTACCAACGGGAAAGGGACAGGGGAGGATAGGTGGGGAGGGAGGGATAAGGGGGAAACAGGGGCATTACAATTAGCACACATAATGTAGCGGGGGTGGGGGTGACATGGGAAAGGCAATATATACAGAGAAGACAAGTAATGATTCTATATAGCATCTTACTACACTGATGGACAGTGACTGTAATGGGGTATGTGGGGAGGACTTGAAAAACTTGATAATAGGGAGAGTCTAGTAACTATAATGTTGTTCAAGTAACTGTACATAAATGATACCAAAAAAAAAATGCACATACGCTGAGCATTAGTAGAAACCACCAAACACTTTTCCAAGGGAGTTGCACTGATTTGCACTCCATTTGCTAGAAGTGAATGAAAGTTCAGTTGCTCCACTCCCTTGCCAAAATTTGGTATTGTCTTGTCTTTGTTTTGGTTGGTCCAGTGAATGCATAATGGTATCTCATTGTGATTTTGATTTGCATTCCCTGATTACTGATGAAGCTAAATATGGTTTGATATGTTTATTGGCTATTTGGATATCCTCTTTGATAAAATGACCATTTAAATCATTTGCCTAGCTTTATATTGGGTTAACTACTTCTTAATGATTTTCAGTTCTTTATATATTCTGGATATGAGTCTTTTTTATTGAAGTATTATTGATATACAATAATACTGGTTTCAAATGTACAACTACTGGTTCAGCAGTTGCCCATACTGTTAAGTCCTCACCCCCTCTATGGCAGTTACTGTCTATCAACATAGAAAGATGGTACAGAATCTGGATATGAATCATTGTATATGTACTACCACTATATTCACAACATTGAATATGTTGTGTGGCTTGTGTTTTCCCTCTCTGAATGGTGTCTTTCATGACTAGGAACCTCCTAATTTTAATATAATCCAAGTTAACATTTTAGGGTTAATACACTTTCTATCCTACTCAAGAATACTTTGTTTACCTCAGATAATAAAGATATCCTTGCCTTTAAAAAAAAAAAGGAATGGCCAATAAGCACATGAAAAGATGCTCAACATCCTTAATCATTACGGAGCTGCAAAGCAGAACTACTAGATACCATAGCACACCCATTAGGATAGCTACTTTAAAAACACTGTTGTTGCCAATGTGGTGAAATTGGAACCCCATGCACTGTGATGGGTATGTAAAATGGTATGGTCACTATAGAAAACAGTATGGTGGCATCTTAAAAAAATTAAAAATAGAATTACCATATGATCCAGCAATTCCACTTCTGGGTATGTACCCAAAATAATTGAAATATGGGTCTGAAGAGATATTTGTATACCCATGTTCATAACAGTATTATTCATAATAGCACAAACATGAAAGCAACCCAGGGTCCACTGAAAAATGAATTGGTAAGCAAAGCATGAAATATACATACAGTGGACTATTGTTTAGCCTTATAATGAAAGGAAATAACATGGATGAACATTGACGTGCTAAGTGAAATAAACCAATCACAAAAAGATACATAATGTGATTCCACTTCCAGGATGTGCATGATAGTCAGAATCATAAATACACAAAGTATAATGGTGGTTGCCAGGGGCTGAGGGTGGAGAGAATGGGCAGTTCTTGTTTAATAGGTAGAGAATTTCAATTTTACAAGATGAAAAAAGTTATGGGGATGGGCAGTAGTGATGGTTGCACAAAATATCCTATATAATACCTCCGAACTACAATTAAAAATGGTTAAGCTGATAAATTTAATGTTATGTGCAATTTTCCACAAAAAAAACAGTGGAGGAATGTATGTATGTTTGTATAGCTATAAAATATCCCTGAATTAATACCTAATAGATGTAGAACAGTTGACTCCTAAAGGAAAAGAACATGACCGGCTGGAAAACATGGGAGACTTTATGTGTATACCTTTTTTATTGATTAAATGTTGAGCCACGTTACCGCTTACCTCCTCAAAAACTAAGTGCCCAAGAAATGTCACACTTCAAAATAAATGAATAATTTCTAATATAACTAACACTAGATGTAGGAAGTATCTTAAAGTTGTTTGGGGAAAAGACTTCTTTTTAGGAACCTTGGGTATTTACTACCTAAAAAAAAAGTATCTGAATCTGGAAAAAAAACAGAAGAAAATAGTTGAGTCAGTTTTGTTGAACAGTTCATTCACCTGCCAACTAGTAAATTCTTCCTCTTTCAAGTCATGTTGTCTATATCCTTTCCTATAATGGGACTAAACATGACTAAAAATTAATGTTGCCGAAGTTAAATCTGGGTTATAATGGAGTGACTATTTCCCAAACCTTTTAAAAGACATTCCACTTCCTTATTTTTAAGGAGCAAAACCACTGTGGCACAAACACTGTATCTATAATATTTACATCATGTAAAGCACAAAAGTTTTACAGAACTAGGTAATAACAGAGAAAACGAAAAATCATTTTTTTAAATGTCTGCCCTTAATCGCGAATAGAAACACTAAGGAATGTACAAATTTAAACTAGTCACATAAATATTTGAGATAAAGCTAACAGACTGCAGTTGTTTTTCAATGTAATTTTCCTTTAAATCTTTTTTTCTTTGAAATAAGTGGCTAAGTTTGGTAAATCAATTTTGTACTTTCTAATATAATTACATAATGGAAAAAATAATAAATGTGCATACAGATAATATACACAAGACTAAACTAGAAATTCCTTTCAAAACTGGCACAGTATACCATGATTACGCAAATGTACTTTGGTAAAAAGGCACATTTCCGCAATCACATGCCTTCACTTTCCCAGTATTACAAGGAAATCCTAAAATGAAAGATCTGAGTCATTAGATCTCAAGGGATATTTCCTCCCGAGCACACCCTGAGGGAAACGTTTAACAACCTCTCCCGCCTCCCCCCAACCCCAGAAAATCAAGGATTCGCTCACTCAAAAAACATCTCCTTCCTCCTTCCAAACCCCGGACGGTCGGATTAAGCCACCAAGGAAGGTGACTCAGTACAGCGCCAGGGACGCGGGGCACCGCAAAAACCACAGCCAGCGGCTCTTTCTTCACCATCTCTGGGGAGCTTGTCCAGTGGAAACGTAAAGAGTCGAGAGGAACCAGAACCAGGAAGAGTCGCAGAGCTGCAGCGGGAAATGACGGCGCCGCCCCTCGACCGAGCCTCCGAGCTCCGTCCCCACCCCAGAAACGACCCATTCCCAGGTGGGACCACGTACAACTCAGGGTGGTCGGGACAGAGCGCGCCGCCCGCACAAACTTCCGCCCTCTGCGGGAGCGGCGCAGGGAAGGGTGCGGGGCGCACGGGAAGGGGGTCGCCTCCCGCACACCACTGCGACCCACACGCTCTCTGCTTAGAGGCCCGGGGCCCCCACGCCTCCGCCCCTCGCGCCCGCGCCGCAGGAGGGTCTCTTTACCCCCGAAAGGCTGCTTACCTAGGCCGCAGAGACCCGCTCGCCGCCGACAACGCCGCCTCCGGTCAGCGACGTGGACTTCAGAGACCTGCTGAGCGAAGAAAGGCGCGCCCGAGGACAGCCCGCGAGGCACGTCACGGCACCGCCCCTGCCCTCCGCCCGCGCAGGCGCACGGCGCCTGGTCAGATGACTCGGTCCCCGTGGTAGCGGGCAGCGAGGGCCGGGGGTACGGGGGACGGAGCACTGGACACTGGGCGGGGGCCGCTCCGGCAGCCCTGGTGAGTGGGCCGTGCCCACGGCTGTGGTCACCGCCATCTCACCGCGCCACAGGTTCGTGCCCCCCCCCACCCCTCTGTGCTGCCACCCGCTCCCTGCTGTGGTCTCTGGAACAGTCCTTGATCTTATTACTTCCCTTCTAATTGTTCCAACAAGTCCAGCATCTAAATCTTACAAGTTCCAGAAAGAGAAAATGAAGAGGAAGAAATTATCAGACAACTAACTAATGCAAGACTACCAGTACTGGACAACAGATACCTCGTAGGACTCATTGAGTGCCCAGAAAATTCCTTTTAAGGAAGACTGGCACCAGAGCACATGATTATGGAATTGTAGAACATTAAGAAGATCCCAAAAGATTCCCAGATAGAAGAAACAGGTCATGTACTAATGACTGAGAACTAAAATAGGTTGGGGATCTCAAAAGAAATGCTTGAAGCTACAGCACAGTGGAGCAATGCCTTCAGAATTCCAACGGGTATTTTGAAACTAGAAGTCTATACTGAGCCAAACTACGTCATTTAAGTGCAATAGAATGAAGACATTTTTATACATACAAGGAATCAGAAAGTTTATCTCCTATACTCCCTTTGTCAGGAAATGACAAAGCAAGTGTGCATTTTGCTACATAAAAATAAAAATATGACGATGTCTTGCCAATGGGTTTCAGCCCCAACAGGTTCACTGTGGATTCAATGTGACCAAAAAAATGACAGAATGTTCTTAGGGGTGAAAGGGTTATTCCCAACTTAATTCCCACAGTGGCAGGTCAATCACTAAAATCCCAAGCACTCAGAGCGAGTCTGCAAGCAACAAGCCGGTCTCTGGGCCTCTGTCCTCGGCACTGCCACCACTCCAGCCTCTGCTCTGCCTTCCTGCAGCCTTGCAGCCCTGCCACTGTGTAGCCCAGAGCACTGGGCAGAGCTCTTTATATAGAGTCAGCAGCAATGTGTTGCCCACACGTGTGTAGTGACTAGCCAACCAGGGCCAGGTGAGAATCCCAGCCATAGGGACTCTCGTTTTATCAACAGACAAGAAAAAGGAAAAGCTGATGAGAAGAGTCCCACAACAAAGAGGTTTCAGCACGAGAGAGGACAAAAGAGCCAAAGGATGATGTTGAACAACGGGGATTCTGGGATGACAGCTACACAAGATGCCTAGAGAGCCGCAGTCCTTCTGGAAACACAATGATAGGAGTGTCTCCAAGAAGAGTACTGTATTTGAACATAGTGAGTGTGGATAAAATGAGAGTTCCCGTAGCCAGAATTCTCACCTGGCACTGGTTGACTAGCTCACTGCACACCTGTGGGAATACATGGCTGTTGACTCTATAAAAAGAGCTGCTCCCAGTGGTCTGGGCATGACACGGTGGCAGGGCTGCAAGGCTGCCAGAGAGCGGAGGCAAAGACGCTAGCTTGACCTACCGCCTGAGAACAAGCCAGGTAATAAACCCTTTCTCCCCAACAACGTTTTACAGTCGATTTATTTGGTCACACTGAATCCATAGCGAACTTGCCTGGGGCTGAAACCCATTGGCAAGACAGTGAGGGAGTCTTCCTTCTGTGAATGTGGAGATGAGTTAATAATAAATTAGAGTACAAAATG